TCTCTCTCTCTCTCTCTCTCTCTCTCTCTCTCTCTCTCTCTCTCTCTCTCTCTCTCTCTCTCTCTCAATCCCACTTACTGTGGTGAAGCTGCCCATTCTGGAATAACTTCAGCCAGTGCTGCAGGAAAAGATTTTTCAGAGCCTTCTCTTGTACCTTGAGTTCTGAGGAGGAAAATGAGAACAAGGGTGCTGTTCTCTTTTGCTTTACCTTGATAGGTAAGGGGCTCATATTACTATGCAAGGCAGCTTATAGAGTGGTGCTACTTTTGAATCTTCCTTGAAGTAAAACACTCCTCTAAGCTCTCCATAGCCCCTGAACAATAATACTTGATTGAATTTATTACTACTGGAAATGCATTCATTTTTCCATTTAGTGGAACAGCAGTAATTTCTTTGTGGTATGACTGCATAAATGAGGGCAGAAAGCAGCATTGCTGCAATATATAACCAAAATATGTATTTTATCATACAGAATAGCTTTGCAAAAGGTATTGTTAAGTGATTTAATTCATAATGCTGGCATTAAATATGTGTTTGCTAAATAAATATTATTCTAGTGTAGACATCACTCCAGAAGATCCACGCTGGGTTGGAGCTTGGTGGATAGCCTTTGTGATATGCAGCTTCTCTACATGCCTTTTGGTAGCACCATTTTCATTTTTCCCAAAGCATTTGCCAGGTAAATAAGTATTGTAAAATAAGAAACTAGTATAACACTAAAAGGTCATATTGAGCTTTAGCTAAGTTGTTGGAATTCCTAAAATTCTAGTCTAAAAACAGTACAGAATGAATGAATGAATGAATGAATGAATGAATGAACGAAGAACGAATGAATGAATGAATGAATGAATGAATGAATGAATGAATGAATATGTAGAGCCAGTGGTGATGACTGCAATAAATATTCTAGGATCTGCAACTTTTAAGTAGCTCATCACAGTTTTAGATCATTCCTACTGCAGTACTGTAATTTCCTGAGGAGGATTGGGGTACAAAGTAATTAGGGCCACTCTTTAAAAAAAAAGACAAGACAATTACTAAGAGGAACACTTTGGTCAGTCAGATGTGGACAGGGCAGTGCAAATGAAATCCAAGCATATCTTTTTAAGTAGAAGTAAAACTGAATGTATTGAAAGAAACAAGAGTTTACCTAGCAATAAAAATAAGGATGTATGAGGAAAAAACTGTTTGTTATCTAAAGAAAGGACTTCTCCCACACTTCACGTGTGGTAGTTTGGGCTTGGCAGTCTTTCAGTCTTTGATGAGAAGATCCTTTTTAAATATCCTATTCTTTAACCAATGATTGGAAAAAGAAATCACAAGAATTCAAAACAAAGATCCAAGAAGAAGTCCCTTCACTATGTCCTGAGCTGAGGCAGAATTTTCCTGTGGCACAAAATCAAAGTTCTTAAAGAAAGGCAAAGATTTGTTTCAAAATCCCCATTTCTATTTCTCAGTAGACAAAACCGGTTGAACAGGGAGAGGGCAGCCCAACCCATTTTTGGATTTGAGTCAATCCTTCTTAGTTGCAGCTGGCAGGAATAAATGTTCTTATGAATCAATTAACATATGATGATTCTAATCTAAGATCTGCTTTGAACAAACTTAAATGTCTTCTTATAAATACCATCTTACCTTCACATCATAGACTGACTTTCTGAAACTATTTGCCCTTAATGCATAGAGTTACCAGATATCTGAACAGGCAAAGGAGGACACAATTAGAAATGAGGACAAAGGAGGGAAAAGGAGGACACACTAACTGTTTAACTTCCTTGGCATCTGCGACAAAAGTTACAGTGAAAAACCCTTATGTCTACAGGTATATGAAAATACTTTTACCAGCATCAGAAAGACTGGTTTTCCAATGGCAGGAATGTGCTAGAGTCAGTTATGAGGAAAAAGCCTTCCCTGTGTAACTGATTAAGGTCTTGTCAGTTTCAGGCAGCAGTGCAAGCCCTCTGGAAGGTATTAATCAACTAATTAAGGTCACAGAGCAGAGCTTGTTAATTTGTGGTTAACACTTATTAGGGAAGCACTGCCTGTGGAGAAAAGCTGCTCCAGAAGAGATAGTCAAAAAGCCTGACAATATTTGATTTTAAGGCTATGCCTGCTGGATGGAGGACATGAGGACAGAAAGGAGGACATGTCCACCTTTTGCCGGATGTCTGGTAACCCTATTAGTGCATCCTTTTCAAGAGGATGAAACTATTTTAAGGTGGGAAATATCTGACAGGAAAATCATCTTAAAATCATAAAGGATGCAGGTTTGTGTCCAAGCAGACAAACTTGCTAAAGTTAATTGACCAAATATTTAAAATTACAGCTGATTTCCACAAAATGTGTGTACTTTGTGCAACTGCAACTGCTTTTGTCAAAAGTAAATTAGATTTCTTCTTCTAGGTACAAGCAAAATACAAGCAGAGAAGATTTCTGAAGCACATCATGATGGAAAACAGACATGTGAATACACTGGGAAGAGTATTAAGGACTTTTTTATGATTCTCTGGGTAACAAAAGCAACACATTCGAATCAATATTTGTAGTTAATGTGAATTTGGGTGTCATTGTGTCAATAATACTTGTAAAGCCTCATTAACAGAATGCAACGAGGATAATAGTATTATTCAGTGTTTGAAATGGTCAGATAGGTCAGTTCTTTTATTTATTTATTTATTTATTTATTTATTTATTTATTTATTTATTTATTTAATTTATCTCCGCCCATCTCCCCCAGTGGGAACTTTACATTTCAATTTGTAAATGTAATTTACAAATTCAAATGCAATTTGAACTTTACATTCAAAACAATAAAACTAATGAATTAAAGTTGAATCCAAAGATCAATTCCAGTAGTGTGAATTTCCTCACCTACGCTACTATCACTTACTTGGATATTGATTTCAGTAGACAAAGAGCAATGAGTGGAAGGAAAATTACATTAGTATAAGATGCCCTGAGAAGAAAATCGTGGTGCAAATGAACATTCTGCTCCCAAGCTTCTTCAGGTCTTCAGAAGGCTCTGAATAGCCTTCGACTGCATGATATAACATGAGCCCACAGTCATATTTCATGTGTAACCGAGCTTTAAGCAAAACTGACTGACTTAACCAGAAAAATGTCATCTGTGATGAGCTGTTGAAACTTGAATAGAGAAGATTAAGGGATACATGATAGTGACCTTCAGATGTCAGAAGACCTTTCATGGAGAAGATAAAACAGGGTTATTTTATATGGTTCCAGAAGTGAGCTCTAAAACCAATGAATGGGACTAATAGGGAATCAGATTTTGGCAAAATGTTAAGAAAAAAATCCTAATAGCAAGGCCTATTTGTGGCATAAATTATTTCAGGGGTATGGCAGATTCTTTCTGCTTGAAAGGTTTAAGCACAGGCAATTCTTTTGGGTTGGTAGATTTTCTTTTGATTTTCAGGAACATATCATGGATGCTATAAAAACAGCTGCCACAGGGATGTGTCCAATCCCAAAATACCCATTTACTAGAATAAAAACTGATGAGACTGCTCCCCATTATTCCCTCTCATCCCACAGAGCAAACCCTATCAACTCATAACTTTTACCCCCCCCCCCCCCCCGGGAAAGTAGTCACACTTCCAAACAGAGCACTGAGAAGCTGCAGTCATTTATTCTTATTTTCTAAGAATGCCTACAGGGCCAATATGAGGTTGAGAAGTATTTTTTGAAATCAAAATTATGCTGGAACCTGATGCTTTACTTTGCAGATATAATTTTTTCTTCGTCTTTTTTTTTTTTTTTTTTTTAATGAAAAGGCTCTGAAACCAAAACAAACCATGAAGCCAGAGCTCCTGGCACATGCCAGAGGAATTGGCATTGGGAATATGTTTGCTCTTCATTAGAAAACATTCCTAATGGGAAGAGCTAGTTGACAGCAGAATAAATTGCTTCAGAAAGTTATAAGACATTTAAATACAGACCATCTGTCAGGGATGCTATGTTGCAAGATTCCTGAACTGTAAATGCTGCTTTAAACAAAGGACTGAACTAAAGGGCCCCCAAGATCTCTTCCAGCTAGCTCTAAAATTCAATTATCCTTTGATTTTAAATGGACATTTGATCACCAAGACCAATTAATTGAGAATAAAATAAAAAGCAAGAAGGATAAATGTATTAACCATGAATAATAACTTTTATTACCCAGTATATCTTTTCAGATTACAACAACGGCTCTAACTGCCTGTTGCTATCCTACTTTCCAGTTTATGGCCACTCATCAGTAGCTAATCATGTTTGTTTTCACCACTTCTTGAGGGCCAGCGAGATACTAAATTAAATGATTTTAAAATTAAGTGGCAGCTAAGGGGTGAGTTTGACAGTTTAATCTCGCTGCCTCCCCTGCCCCTGCAAGCCTTAATAAAAATCATAGCAGTTTGCTGTGTTTGCTGTTTTCATCAGCACGAGCAGAAAGAAGTTGACACCGTAATGATGATTTCTTACTGCAACTGATGCTAGTAAAAATTTCTGTTCAGGAGAACCAGACAATGGTATCTTGATCTTACTAAGTTATTACAGGATGTAACTCCACCAAGTATGATATCCTGGCTCAGTCCACATACTGTGCCTAGATAAGGAAAGGGCCAAGGTTTTTCTTAGTTTCATGCATGTGCTGGGGTGGATTTAGCCAAATTCTTTGCATGTTTATAGAAAGGAATCTGCTACAACATGTTTCTGCCCTGTGACCCCAGATTCGCTCTGCATTCCAATCTCTGAGCTGTGAAACAGCCACCTCTCGGGATGAAACGGTTGAGACGCTAATAGATTTGTAACAGACTGTGTAGCTCTAAGATCCACGACTTTTGTTTTTATTTATTTTATATCACATTTCTATAGCCGCCCATCTCACACAAAGTGACTCTGGGCGGCATACAACAACTGAATAAAATAAAAAAATGAATAAAAATAATAATTATAGAAGATAAAAAGTGATGATTAAAATGCAAACATTATCAAAAATTTTAAAAAATTAAATTTTAAAATATACAAACCCCATGGAAAGAGCAGAATATCAATCACAGTGGAGCCATCTAAAAATGTCTCCAGTTCCTAAAGACCCCCAGGCCTGATGACACAACCAGCTCTTGAGGGACTTCCTAAATGACAGCAGGGAAAGGGTGAACCTAACTTCAGGGGGAGAATATTCCACAGGGAGGAAGGCACGGCAGAGAAAGCCTGCCTCCTG